CGTATTCCCTAAACATTTTCAAGTTTGTTTGTGGTTAGCTGTGAGGCGGGAGACTTACCCTCTTCATCATCACGGGTTACCCTATTGTTCCAGAAGAGGCTCTCGGGCAAAAAAGGAAGAATATAGAAGAAATCGACCAGCCGAGAATTGAACCAATCCCAAGACGCACTCGCAGTGTGCCGGTCCTGCAACGCGACGGGCCTACGGTAACTTGCAAATTGCGGGTTAGAAAATGAGTACACCGATTCTAAAGGGCCAACCGGATACGGTAGCGCAAAGAATTGTGCTCAGTACGCTTTTTCGGCATTTCGCATCCCTTGTCATCGGCGATCGATTCGATCCGACTCGGCGATAGAGCGTTTTTTAGCCACCGGATTGTTCACTCGGGAGACACCTCCGGTTTGTACGGTTTGCAAAATCATCTACAGTACTGACAACGGGTTTCATGTCGGGGGTTTGAGCGCTTGATGGCAAGGGGGTCCGGTTACGCAACCTCGCGGCGCTCCATTGCCAATCGATCGACGCGACCAGCCCATCCCATTCAAATTCCACTGGCTTCACGGCGTTTTTCTTTCCTTTCGTTTCGTGTCCTTAGTTTTTCGTTATTTTTCCTTTGGCTCTTGTATCCTTGTTTACGTGAAGACCATCAGAATTATCGCCGAAGCCACGATTTCTTTGAAGTACGAATTTCTTGCGTTATTCCCTTTCTGTCACTTCTTTTCGCGTAAATTGATCTTTTTTGGTTCTCTAAGATATTTTGCTGGTTCTTCAATTACCATGTCATTAAAGCTTTTATTTATAATGCAGGGGTCCTCTGCTAACGATGGAAAATAGCAGCCCTGGTAAGCATAGGCGGGTGAAACGATGTCTTTTCGGCAAACCGGACCCCGATCAGGTTCGTTCTTGTACGCTATTAAGGATCAATCGTATTACTTTTATTCCTTGTCTTCAACTTCTTCTGAGATTTTCGAGTGCTTCAATCAAGCTACGAGTCAGTAGATCCATTCACGAAAGCACATATGTTAATCTTTATATTGAGAGGGATTACCCTAATTTGGTGGTTTCATACAGCTCAATAATAATGTAGGATAGTGTGCCAAATTTGCCGGTGCAAAAGTCCGAACTGCTGCCAAACTTCGATTCTTTCTCTGAAATTGCAAGGCCAACGATCTCATTTAGTTTCTCCATTGTTTATCTATTGGTTATTTCTTGATTTCCGTTTCATATTAATCCTCTTCGCTCGAATCTAAGAAGAAAACGCTTAGCTGAGAGTTTATGGCGACGAGGTCGGTAATAATCACTATAATTTTGAAGCCGCAGAACTCGTATAGCTGTGGCATACTCTTCCTGTTTCAGCGTTCTTTGAGTGTGCCACCATAAAGAGCATCTCTAGAGGTTTTAGCGTATTTAATTACGTAAGATCATATGTCGATAATAATTTATCAGATCAATTTACGTGATATATTTAGTCCAGAAACAATGCTGGACTATTAACTATTAACTTTCAAAAATTCTAAATAAATCGAAAAGGATGCACGCATCGCGCGATCTTCTGCACTGCGCGTACCTATGGGTAAAAGGGCTGTTGGAGGAATCGTATGCGTGGACAGCCGGATCTAGAGTGCAGACCATAGAGTGGCACTTCGGTCATGACTCCACCCAATTAGCTGGCATGTTTTCAAGAAACATGTCCAAAAGATCTCAAATCTGCACGTGATCTTCTTTCAATAGTTAAGCCTTTTGTAATAATCGCGAGCTCTTGCTCATTCTTCTCATCAAATTTGATAAAATGATTAAGTAACTATACTAAAATTTGAAAATACTATTTTGCCCAGTACTAGGGAGCCCACAAATCCGCTTCACGCACTTTTGCCAGTTCTCATGCTTCGATCTTTGGAAGGAAGCTTTTGTATCAGGACCCACCATTTGCAGCGAATTCTTCCGGCGCCGTTCATTGTTTAATGTCATGGCATGCTAAAAGGGCATACCCCGTGTGGCGCATAAGAATCCCATCGGTCGGATCTTTTTTACATTTGTATTGACTGCTGCGGTAGCCCGAGAAACAAGATAATTAGTCTTCATGATCTAGACAATAGTGGTATTCACAGCTTTACGAAAAAAACTGAAAGTCACCGAGGTTATTTGCCAACGTGACTATATTTTCTTGGTTTCAGGTTGAGAAATGGTTATCAGACACTACAGGCAAGCAGCTGAAGAACAGTCAGGAAAAGTGGAGTTATGACTTCAAATTAGATAAGCCTATTGCTGGTGATATTGAATATGAGGCAGTCCCTATGGAGAAGGTTAGTAACTGCTTGTACATGTTTGTTTGAATTCCACTATGGTTGTTCATGAAATGTTTTATAGGTGCCTTCTATGTACAAACCGTATATTCATGGGGAAACAAACCGACGCGACAAAGTTGCTGAGTCGATCCCAACAGCTTCCTCAGTTGCTAGCGAAGACCAAAAACGAAACCTGACTGCTGTATTCCCTCGACCTCTTACGCGTGAGTTTTTTGTGGCGGTGGACGAATTTGGAAAAACATGCTATTTTGTTTTCAAATAATTGCAGGCCTGAAAGCTGCTCGTGACAATGAGTCTACATTTACTAAGATTCTTGGGGTCTATTCCAGTTAGGGGGGGGGCATCATGATGCAGTTTCTCGGCGAGCTAATGTAAACTCGAACATTCCAGCTTCTCACGCATGTCAAGTGACTGCCCTCACCCCCCACCCCCCTAGGCTGGCTACACTCCCCCTGGCTCAGAGTTACCGTAGCTTTTTGGGAGTCACCGCACCATGATGCCCCCCTAACTGGAATAGAGACCCAGGTCTTCGTTTACTTTCCAGTAATTGGTGCTTACTTGACATGAGTCTAAGCCTACGTTCTGTATCCAGAATTTGCTCTAAGATTTGCCAGCAAATGCTTCAAAGTAGTCTCCTCTCTTTACTGCATCCCTGCAATTTTGCAACTTGGGGAAAGTTCGCCCGAAATTATGGTATTTGGACGAGAATATTGACGAATGAGCAGTGCAATATAGAGTATCCTTTTGGAATTTTTCTATTTTTCTATTTTTGTAGTTATGTATTGCTTATAATGTTGCTTCTTTTATGTGAACTTCAGATCCTGTACGAAACTTCAAGGTCAGAAGGTTGAACTGTCACGAGGTCTAAAGCAGGCAAAGCTCACAAGTGAGTTCAGAATCTATATTTTTTCCTCTTTTTTTTTCTTCATAAAATAAGTTACTCCTTTCTTTTTTAGTTTCTCTACTCTTTTGAACTTTTGGTGCGGTCATCTTTCCTAGGCTTCTAAAATTCCTTTTCTTCCTTTTCTGATGCCTCAGTCTTTAGTTGATGGATTCCAGATTCGTCCCCTTCTTGGATATTATTTGTTTACACAATTGGTTGTTGTAATCAATTCCTATTGCGTTCTCAGTTTATCTGTGGTCTTGCTTTTTGAGCAGAACACGTGCTTCTATACGGATCGTATACCACATAGCATCGTCTGCTGCATCGCAGCTTTGAAATGACTCAGTGTCGTAAAGTTTTGCTTCCCTTCAACAAACAATCGAGCGACGCAATTCAACTGTACAGCACGCTTTGAAGGAAATTTCATAATCATAACCCCCTGAGTTATTCGCCTGTCCTTCACCTTCACTCTGGAAAGGCTGTTAATTTTGTCGCAAACCCGTTTTGCACGCCAGGTGTTTTGCCGTGTAGTAAAGTCTGTTATGCTGCATTCGTCATATAATTCATCATTTATAAGGAGTACTTGCTAGGCTCATGTAATTTTACGTCTCGGGCGGCCTTTGGAGGTCAGTAGTGGTAATGACGGGGTAGATGGTTATATTCAAGGACGTGCGTGAAGAGTCGTCATTATTGTGTGTTGACCGCGGTTGGGACACTTCGAGTAAAAGATTTGAAGAGGGAACTATGCCAGGTGTACTCTTCTTGCCTCTGCTGCAGGTTGATATTACTATTGCTATTTGTATGCGAGGGATGGCTGTGACAGTTGAACGGTAAAGATTAGAGCGTACGATTGCAATTATATCGTTATGATTGTATGGCAATCTGTCGATCTTGATCACTATCCACTGAGGATTGGATAACCCTCACACATTGGGGTAACATGTCATTAGAACGAAGACGTGCAGTTATTGGAAGTGTTTCGGCGATATTGGAAGAGCAATTATTTATTTCAGTATGATGCGGACGGGGGCTTCAGTAAATCGTCCGTCCTCGATCCTCTTCGTTAGTTCGTAATCATGTCACTCTGATCTGAACTCCGACCTTCTAATGTGTCGACGAGAAAATTGGTCTGAGTCCTGTGCTTGCAGTAT